GCACTTCTATGCCCACATTCATACCACAAAATAAGTTTCTCCTTTTCTGTTTTGTTTCCGCTATTTTCCGTATTTTTTAGACGATCTTTCCGTTTTTCAGACTTCATCAGGTGGCAACCCTAACTCGTACAGAATCAATCAGTTTCAAGTCGTTTCAATATTAAATTCACAATAGAATTGTAAATTGATAAAAATAAAAACTATGCTTTCGCATTTTAGTGTTAATTAACATCAATGAATATTACGTTTAAATATATTCTCATTGAAAATTCTCGAAACATAGATGTCAAAAAAAAAAGATTAGATGTTCATTAATAAAATGCAGAATGATCATTGTCTTGTAATTATTTCTTATTTGTTAATACCAAAGTAGTTTATAAATAATGAGAAAAATTAACTTATAACGAATATTCACAAAATATTACACTAAATCTGTAATGACAATAAAATTACAAAATTGTCAACTTTCTTTTTCAGAAAACTTGACCTTATCGGTGTAAAGTTTAAAAGAATGGATACTTACTTAATCGTCCAATTGTCATAGTTAAGAAAGCGAAAAACTAATGAGTATTTTTTTAACAAAGACCCTACAAAAATGTCAACTATCTTACAAAATTTTTCGTCTTTGGATGGATTTTTGCGCAATTTTAGAAGAAATATTCATAAGAAACAACTTTAAAGTAACAAAATATGAAAGTATCGGAAAAGTCTTTTTCTTCTAGATCTATACCATTGCTGTTTTTTAATTCATAGCAAGCTAAATATTTTCATTGTTCCATTTATCATTTACACCATTTTGTTTCGAACTACTTTCTACAACCGACAACATAATAATAAATATTTCATAGAGCACGTTTGGCTTTTCAAAACTCAAAAATATCGACAGATGTCAGTTCCAAGTCGTCTTTTGGTTATAAACACTAGCATCAGAAACCTTGAAATCGTCCTAGAAACATCGACCTTGATCAGCAAAGGTTTACACAAATTAATAAATCTCATCAGAAAATGAGAAATTGTAGTTGAATTGAATGATTAAGTATTAAATGTGGTACCGATAAGGAAAACCTTTTTGAAAAACAAAGACGACAGTTTTATAAAAATTTAAAATTCTCTATCTTTTGACATATAAAGAAAAGTTTTTTATGCTGAGAAAGCAAGAAAAAAAATGCACCGAGATAAAATACAATATATTCTAGGACATCTAATTCATAATCAAAGTGCAAATATATGTTTATATTTACATTATGGATTTTCAAGTCTGAATTCATTTCAAACCTTCGTTTATAAAATATATAAAATAATACACAAAATTATTTTTCTAATTATTAATATTCCGCTTTTGTTCTTTGATATTAACGAACTATAATTAGTATTTTATACAAGAAAGAACCTTCTTTTTTTAACCATATTATTCCATTCCATTTGTATTTCTTTCTTTTTAATATTTTTTTATCGGCTTGATATATATGAATATAGCAAGGCATATTATAATAATAATTATTATTATCTTCACATGATCCTTTTTTTTTTTTTGTATTCTCATCAATTGGAATGTTATCTGAAATAGTTTGTACAGTATGCACATGCATGAGCTGGTAGTTATCAACTCATTTGTACTGTCGAAATGCTTTACTTTTTTTTCGTTCTTTTTTCTTTTTGTACGGTAAAAAAAAACTTATTGCCTACAAAAAAGGAGAAAAATAAGTATCTACCATCCTACTGTCATACCTAACACGTGATTATGTCGTCGAATGATTATCAACATTATGTATTAAATGAACAACGAAAACGAAGAATAAAATTATTTCTTGTGAAAATATTGGTTTCTGCTCTTTTTATTATACCGGCATATCCTTTTTCACGTTTTCTAAAAAACAAAATTCAAAAAAATATTCTTAATGCAGTACATCTGAAACCCGATTCAGATAGTTTCAAATTGTGGTGTGATCCACCAGTAACTGCTATTGTCAATTATCATCTTTTCAATATAACAAATTCTTTTCAAATCGTTACTAATCCTATTTCGACTCCAATACATATTAAGGATACTCCTTCTTATACTTATAATATAAAACTAAATAAAATAAATATTCAATGGTCGAATGATAATAAAAATATAAGTTACGGAGTTGAACGATTATTTACTCGTCATCCAACTCGATTTGATCCATCATCTGCTAATGATACAGGTGTATTTATTGATTTACTTCGAGCAACTTTTCGAACACAATATCAACTTAAACCAACAGAAACATTTTATGATTTCGCTGGCATGAATACATTTTATCATAGAAATGCTGTTGAACAATTAGAAGGATTTACTTCAGATTTATTTAATATGATTAAAGACCAAATGGTAGGACCTAATTCCAACAAGACAGGCTTTGTTTATCGGCAAAATGGCAGTAGATTATTTAATTTTTCAATTCAAGTCGGTAAGACTATATATACATTTTAATTAAATACATTTTAAAATTTTTATCATTTTATTTGAAAATTATTAAATGTTTTTCAAATTGATGAATATCTTAGTTTTATTTTCAGTA